CAACTGATACTGCATTCTGCAAAAAATACCAAGGAGCCTTTACTGGAAAACTGCTGCTGGCAGGGATAAGGGAGTGAATTGATTTAGAAGTAATTGGATAGATTTCAATTGAAATGAATCCTAATTAAAGAAAAAAACAGGCAGAAGAGAGCTATAAGAACACTCTGAACAGTACAGATTATGACGACTAAACCCAAGCAAAGCCCAAGGTGATTTTTCATCCTGAGATTGGGTTTTGGTTTCTTTTGCAGTTTACTCACTCTGGAGAATGAAGCTAAGCTAGTCAATGCTGTTCTTTGCTTAAATTCCTTTTCCCTCTCTGATTTCTAGAGTGTAGTTGGGTGTCTGTCCCTGCAGGGACCCAACTTGTGGTCAGCAACACCTATTGCAAATGTTGCTGAAATACTTCATTGAATTTGTGGGTCTAGGTGGAATTTAAGTTTGAAGCCAGGGTTGGTCTCTTTTATGGCATCCTTTATATTTTGAGGGGACATGGGAGAAAGCATTGTGGGCCTTAGTGTGTATTTGTGGGTGCAGTGTGTAGTACCTAGTACCATGAACACTTAATGATCTGCCAGGTGGAACAGAGTGTCTTCAGGACAGTTTTATAGGTCTGAGCAATTGCCTGACAAGGATGAGGTAGGAATACATCCCTATTCCAAAATACATCTAGCACATCTTCAAAAAATCAAGAAACATTATCTGAGAACCTAATTTAGTCATCACTCCTTTGGTTCTTGGGATGATCACATATAGTACATCCTCTTGGAAGCTGTGTTGGGGCACATGAAGAAGGAGGTGTCTGGTAAAGACCAGTGTTCATTTACCAAGGGTAAATCATTCTTGATCTATGTAATGGCCTCCAAGGATGGATGGGTAGATCTATGGGTGATGAGAGGGTAGTGGATGTTGTCTGATGTCAGTAAGGCTTTTGAGATGATCCCTCACAGCATCCTTCTATCAAAGACACAAGAGAAACCACAATCTAGATGTGCAGACTGCTAATTGGGTAGGAAACAAGCTGGAACTATCCTAGGACCTTTCCTTTTTAATATTTTTATCAACAATGTGGAGGAGGAGATGAAATTCACTTCGTCAAATTAGTGAGTGACACCAGACTTGGGAAATAGTCAATATGCTTGACGACAGGGCTGCCATACAGAAGGGCCAGGACAGGCTGTGGCTGACATGAACCTCATGGAATTCAACAAGGACAAATGCAGTGTTTTGGGATGGACTCACCTGGGATGGGTTAACCCCTTGAACAGTTGAAGGCTGGGGACTGACTGATAGCAGCCACTGAGTGACCACAAAGAGGTTATTCAGGAGATGGATCCGGGCTTTTTACAGGAGTGCAAATTAGGAGAATGCAAAAAAACTAGACATAAATTGAAACAAGAGTTTCCAACTGGAAATAGAAAAAAACTTCCTATTATGAGCTAATTAGTGCTGGGGCAGGTTGACCAGGCTGGTTGTGTCACCTCCATTTGGGGATATTTTCATGAACTTAATGGATAAGTCCTGGGCAGCTTGGGTTGATTTCAGCTTTGTGCAGGGATTGGGCTAGAGACCTCCCAGGAGTATTTTCCTCCTGATTCTGTGACTTTGCCTGTGTTGTTCCTACCAGTCATTCACTGGGGGAGCAGAACAGTTTTGCCATCTCATGGGATTTTTTTCTTTTTCCCTGTAAAGCTCACATTGTGTACTTTCTGTTTTATGTGAGCTACATAACAGATGAGAACCTCAATGTGGCTCTTCAGTTTAATAATTAACACTCTGACCTTCTACTTCATCCTTGTGTGCTCTAGGTACTTCATTCTCTTCGCAAGCAGGAATGAGCCATCCTCCCAACCTCTTCTGTGAGTTTTTAATGCTGATGAGGAAGAAGTGCAGAAAGGTTATTCTACTTCAGGAGCACTCATTATAGAAGCCTGAATATTTAGTCTCTTTTTTTCAGTATTAAACAGAGGAGAATGAGGGACCAGATCTCCAAGACAGCATTAGGCTGCCTGACAGTGAACTGTCCTTCCCTCTCCTGCAGTTCCCTGGATTATTTATGACACACTTCCAATTTCTACAACAAATGAGACAGTGATCTTACAGACAACACTCCAAATCACTTAACTCCTCCACTATAAACCCTGATTCACTCTCCATGCAGGTCCTGAGGGGAAAAAAAAAAGTTAATATTAGATACCTAAACTCATATATCTCTGAAAGCATCTGGAGCTGTGCTTGACTTGAATTAGCATCTTAATTCCTAGCCTTTGTCATGTGAATGATCTTTTAGTGTAAAATGCTCTTTTAGTGTAGTTTTAAGACTATAATATTTATTATTGCATATTACAAAGCAACTTGAATGTTGCTTTAATGTCATTCTAAGATTGTAATATATGCCCTGGCTAGCATCCTCCATCCTGTCTTTATCTGACCCACACCCAGAGAGCAGCTTGATCTACCCTAATCCACAAAAGAAACATGGGCTTATTTGTCCTGCTTTGCTGACATGAGAGTGGTTAGAGAGGTGCAGGTGGGGCTGTAGTACCCAAAGCCCAACTTTGTACTGTAAAGCCCTTCATTAGTGAGGAGAACATATACCCTTCACCACAGGTGGTTCTCCCTGAGAAGGACTCTTCAAGGTCCTAATGTCAATATGAGATATTATGAAGTTTCCTGATGAGGAAGGTGCTCCTTTGGGACTTGTTTGTCTGTCGACTATGGAGGGAGTTTGTTTCAGCCTTGTCCTCACTGCACTATGTCAGATGAGCCTTAGTTGCACTCTATGCAGCAGTGCTGAGGTAACCCATCCTCATGTCCCTTTCTGTGGTCATCCTGAGGAGGCTGCAAATTTATCTTAAAATTCAGATGGAATTAGACTCTTTTCATTGAAAATTTGGGTGAAGTTTGGCAATGCTAAAGTAGCCAAAATTGTAGTCATTCGAGGGACAGTGATGGGCAGCCATCACCCCTGAGAGGGGTAGCAAGACCACCCAACATATACCAGTGAACTGTGGTGATGGATGGGTCTAGGTCTAAAAGAACTGTAGCCATTTTTAACCTTCTTACCTGGGTAGTGTTTCCAAATCGCTGTGCTGGGCTCAGCATGGATTGCTCCAGGGAAGTGACCACATAACAGAGAGACACAACCAGTGAGCACTGTAGATCCTCCTGTCTCCTCCTCATCCCTTATCCATCTGCTAGATATCCAGGGTGTCAGGGCTTAGGCTGGAAAGCTGCAGAGAGGAGGTCAGGGGGGTGCCAGCTTCACTGCAGGTTTGTGCCAGTCTCTGTATGGCCAAGGTGACCACTGAGCAAAAATGAGGACAAATGCTCCTGATTTCAAACTGTCTGCAAGCCTCACCTGCTCTCCAGGTGGACTTTTAGCCTTTGCTGTCACTGTGGTACTTTCTGTTTGAGATGAAAAGACATTACCTGTGGGATTTTTTCTTCTCTTCTTACCTTGTCCTCGTTTGCTACTGGTTTAATGTAGGCCGATTCCTCAGGAGTCCTGCTTATGTCTTCTATCCTGGGAAAACAATATGATGGAGAGTATTAGCTCTGCCATAGTTTGTTGTAGGGAAGGCAGCAGTGATGCTTGGTGGGGAAAAATAAATCCAGCACATGAACAAAGGACTGTATGAGTCAGCAGACAGGACAAAAAGGCCAAAGTAGTTCCTGAAGAGCCATTGCAATGTAGGCTGCTGTCATTGCTGGACTGGGAGGTGGCTATATATATCTCTCTCTCAATAACAGGACTTTTTCACCCTGTGAGATTGTGGGGGAAGCAGTAATGGGAAGAGGTGATGTTTAGTCAAGTGGGAAGGCTTCCCGACCAAGGAGCTGTGTGTCTGGCATGGGTTTTACTTCTCCACTCACAAGTAGCTGTCTACCAGGAGAGAAGATACTCTCTGGCTCAGATACAGGCTTACTCCAGGAATGGTATGGTCCTTGGATGGTATCTGCTGAGGTCCCTTCTGGACGTCATCTGTGAAACTTAGGGTACATGTCATCTGCATGTGTATTCTTCATTAATATAACCCTGACCACTTGAAAACCTTCAAATTTTTTCTGAGTGCTAACAAAGGACCTTTCAACTAACCTTGCTAGGAATTGCTGTGTATTGTCCTCATTTAACAGATTAGGAAGCTGAGGAACAGAAAGGTGATGATTATTATTCTGGTCAGATAAACGAGTGTGGATTGTTTCAGGCTATAGGCAGGAAGGGACTTTCTCCAAATGTTATTTGTGCAGTTCGTTGCACTAGCAGGACCTGCTGCGGGTGAGCCTTTATATAGCCCCTTTATACAGCCTTATACATTTTAAGAAATCCTGACTGTCTAATTTTATCATTCTGTAATGGTTTGGGGTTTGGTTTTTTTGTTGCTGGTGAATTTAGGCCACGACGAATGTGAAACTTTGCCTGACTCTGCAGTTTCTCTCGCTTTGGTCCCACATACAAATGCGGCGGGTCCCTGGGGAGCAGCCAAGGCTGCACCGCTCGGAGCAGCTGGCAGCGCAGTGTAAATGTCAAACATACACCCTTACCATCACACAGAGAGGCTGCAATCCCACCTCTGCTTCCCAGGGCTTTTCTCTCCTTCCCTGAATGTGAAGACAATAATTGGGAGCTTTTCTGCCTCTTGAGAACACATGAGCTAGCAGACAACATTATAAGACCTTGGCTCCCTTAATTCCCCACTCATGCCCTCTGTGGGTCTGTAGTTGGTTGTTTACAAGACAAAAATTCTCAAACGTTATGATTAGTTTGAAGAAGTTCTGCATTTTTGTGTATTCATGCAGTTTAGGGACTTTAATCTCTGTCAAACGTGACCAGGGTGGAAACTTTTCTGAATGCCACCAGGAAAGGGCTCAAGAATTATCTTTACAGTGGTCCCAGACTGCTCTCAAGCTCTGTTTCTTTGACCTTTCTTACCATCCTGGGCTTGAAAGCTCAGCAGACCCTCCTTGAACTAACCTGCTGCTCTGTTCCTCTCTTTTAGGAGCAGGGAGCAGAGATGGATAAGATACTGGAAGCTGTGGTGATGTCCTCATACCCCAACAATGTAAAGCAAGGGCTAGTGAGGCGTGTCATTGAGGCATCGAAACAGCCCATGGACAGTGAGCAGTGCTGGTCCATGCTGGAGCTGTCCACCAAGCTTTATCTCACCGGGGACACCAAATATAAAAGAGAGATTGGGAAGGAGGTTTTGGAGGTCTACGGCCACTATCACCCGGAGGAATTTGAGGAGTTCTTCAATGTCCGCTTCCTGCTGAGTCTCCTGCAGGAAGGCTATGGACCTCTGGGGAAGAGAAGCCATTATGTACTTGATTATATCCAGTTAGGATTGCAGTTTGTCCTGGAAAGCCCGTCAGCAAACAGCATCTTCAGCTTATTGAGGATTGAGGTGCTCCGGAAAATCTGTGAGAGGCCCAGCCCCAAGCATTGTGCGAAGATCAGCAAACTCTTAACCCAGCATCCTCAATGCATTCCCACGGGAAAACACCAGCTCTTGTTCTGTCAGCAGCTGATCAGATGCATTGGGCATTTCCAGTGTGTCTCCGAGGAGGAAGAGCAGATTATGGAATTTTTGGAGCAGGTGAACAAAGTGAGTGGTCTGCTACAGAGGATCTGGAGGACTCAGACCTCAACCATCCTGCCCTCTTTGAAGGAACTGTTCACTATCATTTCTTCAACAGGTAATTTAAAAATAGTAATTAAAAAGGCTGGGAATGTAAATGTTGTCTCTGATGAAGTCAAATTCAATTAGTTTGACATCTCGCAGTGTTCTCATCCACTACAGAAATGCAGCCACAGAGAAGTATAATAAACAAGCATCTCAAAAAGTTACCCAGGACTTTGAGCTGGGAAAATAATATCCCCTGAACACACACAGGGTCTGCACATAGGAGCTGTTAATGGGATTTAAACATTTGCAACATGAGTTTGTGTATTCAGCACTTCCCAGCATCACTTGGGCTTATCTACAGCTGGTTAGAATGGAACTTTAAAGCTTTTAGAAAAGTCACTCTCTTATGACTGACTTGGTGGTACCCAATGGCCTGCTCCCTACCAGAGACTAGGGTTAAAGCTAAGGAGTTATTTCTCACTTATCTATAGGTACGAAGCTCTACTGTCTGTTTGTAGGGTGGTTGCATAGTAAGGTGAGACAGAAGATATTTGTTCAGTTTCTGGGGTCTTTAGGTTATTGTGGAAGATTTCAGAAGGTTTTTGGAGGTACCAGTGCCGTGAAAGGCTGGGGATCTCCTGCTCCAGCTATTCCTAAACCCACAGGAGATTACTTTTCCAGTGCCCTCTGTATGAAAATCTCATCCTTTGGAAGGTACTCCAGACTGGCAAATTTGCAGTTGCATCCCTTTGCAATTATTTGCAATACTTAGTAGAAATAGAGCATGCAGAGGAAATTTGGTACCTAGAGTTGGCCCAAGGATGTTCTTGTGCCTGTGATCTCTTTCTCCCTTTGGGCTGTGTATAGCTTCATGCAACAGCCCATCTGCTAAGACCCAACTTCATCATGTGCTGCACCGGGATTTGGGGAATTGTCCTCCTAGCACACTCCAGCTGTAGATTCTACATTGCTCATTGGCACCAGCTGACAATCTGCTCCGTAACGTGTGGATGTGGCCCTTGGGGACATGGTTTAGTGTTGGACTTTGCAAGTGCTGGGTTAGTGTTTGGACTCTATCTTAGCTTTTACAACCTAAACAATTCTATGATTCTATTTACATGGGCAGAAGTGATTTGATTTTTAGAGATGAGAAATGACCTCATGTGCCTGTTTTTCCTGGCAACTAACATCTTCATTGCTGGCACTCATCCATGTCTTACAGAGGAGCAGGAAGTGCCATCCAATGCCTTGGCCAGCGTGGTTCAGTTTGTCCCTCTGGAGCTCATGGATGGCGTCATAAGAAACCTAACCAACGATGACAGCATCACTGATGTGCAAATGATGATGGCCATCAGCAGGTAGGAGAGGCTGCATTAGTGAATGTCATTCTCAGTTCGGAGAAAAACTTGCCCCAGAGCTGTACTCAGTTTCTCTGTGTGGTTTTATCTCCAACAGTTAGGCTGGTGCTGTCTGGTGAGGAGTGTGTGGGGAAAAAGGAAACTTCTGTATCACTCCTTCCAGCTCTGAGGTCCTAAAGAACTAGAATAAGGACTGGTGGTTGTTGTTATTATTATTATAACAATGACTATTACTATATTTGTTTGGTTTAATTTGGTTTCTTTTCTTAGAAATAAATAGTAGTGTGGGATGCCCAACATAAGATATCTTGAAGAGTTTTGTTTTTGTTTTTGTTTTTTTTTTAAGAAGCTGTTGAGGTCTTTTTCTTCCCAAAAATCTCCTTTACAGAATTTCATGTTGATCTCCATCTTCCTTCCGAAGGACATAGTCCAAAATAAATCAGTCACAGCTAAAAATCTTGGGGAGGCTCTTGCTTTGACCTTTATCAGATGAATGTGGTGCTGCTGGACATACAGAGTCAATAACATGATGAAGAGTAGTGGGTGAAACACTGCCTGACATGCTAGACCTGGTCTTTGCAGCACCAGTGCCCTCTCTGGCATCACCAGATCTTCTTTGCACACTTATGCTTATGTCCAAATCCTGCTGCTCCTCTGTGCTCCAGTGCCTTGTTCCGCATTTGCTTAGGAGTATCTTCAATGATCTTAAGGGTTCTTTTCCAACCGAAATTATTCCATGATTCTATCTTTAACCCATGCTTTCCTTAGAGGTCTTCATTTAAGGAGATGGTATTTACACAGTGTGAACTTAACACATGGGAGCTGCTGTGACTTGATCTTACTGGAAACATCATTTTTCCTCTTCTTATTACAGGGTTTGTGTGTCCCTCCCAGTAAGGTTACATGACATAATGTTATGGGAACTTTATGTATGCAGAAAGGGATTACTTCTCTTTGGCTTGCTGGGGAAGGCCATGGGTTTCCTAGAGTACAGAGCAACCCAAGACGAAAGATTAGGTTATCATTTCAGTTCCTAACCCTCTTCTCCATCTTTTTTCTCCTTCTGGACACTTGCTGCTGTGAGCTCCAGGTGATGAATCCTCTAAGAGCACCAGTTTCTAAAGATAGAGGTTGCCAAATAAGTTGCATCATTCCTTAAAACATTCTTTGTCATGTGGAAGAATGAGTAAATGATGAATCAGAGTTAGTCAAACATTAAGCAGAGCCTGTAAAATGTAATTAAGATCACTTAGGAGAAATGGGGAAGTTTTGTCAGCTTGTTTATGGCAGATGGGTGCCCCAAATGCCAGCATGACCATCAGCCTTTCTATGAGTGTGTGCTCCATGCCTAGAAAATCAAAGAAAAATGTACAGGATATTTCAGCTTAGTGAAAAATGAAACAATCTTTCAGCTTAATATTCCTGAAAAAGTGGTCTCGTACAGAAGTGTATTCTTCCAAAGTTTGGGTTTGGGAGTTAGTAGCAGGGGAATAAACTGGACATAGAATGGAGCTTCTGGTCAAGTGTGTAAAGAACAAATAATGGTAAAAAACAGCAAGGCTGGCACCTGCTGGTATAAGTGTACACCACAATCTCTTTTAGAGAGTTTCTTACAAAGTTTGTATCTTTTAAAATAAATTCTATTAATATGCACCCATGACGTCAGAAGTACTCACTGATTAGTTTTTTAATTTTTTTTTCCTGGGGGTGTGTCTATTTCAAAGAGCCCAGGTCCAGATGCAGAAGGCATCTGCTGTCACACAGCAATGCTATCTCTAGGCACTTGCTACCTCTAGAAATCAGGCTCTGAGCTTTTAAAAGTTCAGCATACCAAATCAGTGGTTCCTTTGGAAAATTAGGGTCATCACAACTAAAATATTTGTGGATCTTACAATGTGGAAAGTGCAATGTGAATTTAAAATGTAATTTCTTCCTACTGTAGCAACATCGGCAGCACTGTAACTTAGCCACCAGTGCTGGCAAAAAGCAAACAAGGTTATTTTATGCCTGTTTAAAAGAAAATGGGGTGAAAAGGAACCTTTGGATCTCTGGATCCATCTCTCTGCTTTATAGGCACTGACATTACAGACCCCTTTCATGAATGTTCAGCTACACTCCTCAAAGCAGGACAGGCTTGTGCTCCCACTGCTCTTCTTTCATAGCTGTTCCACCATGGGGTTGCTTTAGTGGATTGAATCTCTCTTCTAACAGCTAGGCTTTGTGTATTTCTGGCCATCTTATAGTTCATTTGATCTTATGCCAACAGAAATAGCTGAAATACCTTTTGCCTCCCTGGTGTTTATTCCTTCATTATGTGCAGGCAGAGCAGTCCCTTCCCATCTCTGCTTTCCCATGGCTGTGCTAAACAAGCCAAGTTATTTTAAGGTTTTCTTGCAGGAAATGTTCTTGGACACAAATGGTGTTTGTACACCATGTTCCAGGTGCAGTTCATCATGACAGCCTGACCTGAGGTGTCATTGTTTGGCTAGAGAAAACACCTTTTCTTCTGCACCACAGCATGGTGCTGGTCTTTTCCACGGCTGCTGTTACACTGGGAACTCATAGTCACGTGGTATCTGCCTGGTTGTCTTCAAGAAGATGAGTTACCATCATGTACCACTCATTTCTTGTGCCTTGCATGCATTTTGAATCCATACATTTCCTTCCAGTTCAGCATTTCTGATTCTCAGGGTCTTCCTTGTGATACCTTTATCCTCCTCTTGTGTTGATGATGCCTGACAGCTGTGCATCATCTCAAATTTCCCAAATCTGTTCAGGATATCTGTGCTAAAATAATTAGATCTTCAAGAATGTTGCTTGTAACCCCCTTTCACACAGTCAGCTGGATATGATCTACTTCTGTCCTTTGACTAGAAATTCGTATGTCCAGACAAATCTGACTTTGGCACCTGTGGTGAGCCTCTGTGGCACTCTATCTCTTCTTCCCACTCATTGCCTGTTTTCATTATAGGAACCACCTTCCTATTCTCCCCACATAAAGCACCATGGAATAGTTAATAGAGGCATTAAAACTCACCAGAGTTGAATTTTACATGATGGAAATCACCAACTCCTCTTGTTTGGAGTTCATGAACTTTTCATATTTCACTTTTGTATCAGCTGTTTCTGTTCTCAGATCTTTTACCTACCTCCTCTTTGTCAGCCCGATCAATTCCTTCCTCTTGCTTAAAATAGAGTCAGTGGGTGTGTTTAGTTTCGAAATCACATCTAGAGGCCATATCATATCTTTAATCTCCACCACATTCACTGTATACGGAGATTGCATGGCTTTCCTTGTTCTCCTCTGATGCAAATGTCTGTGGAAGCTTCTCTGGCCTTCGCTTTATTATCCAGCTTGCCTTGACTTTTGCTATTTCTCAACATCCCAACATATTCTGCTGGTTTCTTTACTGGCTAGACATTAATTTTTCCGGTTCCCTGTAGAATTCATTTATTCCTGCTCTTTGTGTTGTGGTGGTTAGTTATCTGTCTTGCCTTCATATATTTTGCATGAGTTACAGACTGATAAGCAAAAGGAACTGACTGGTAGGATAGCTGGACTGAGGTGGAGCCTGAAGGTCTGGGATATCTTCAAATCAAAGGTACTGAAATGGTCAATAAAGTTTGACACTTGGAGATCCCAAGTCTTAATTACTTCCCAGTTGTTTAACATTGAATTTTAACAGAAAAATGTGTCATCTCTTAGTCTGAGGTTATTGTTTTATGAGAGACTTCTGTAAAGTATGTATTTCTTCCAGAAACATTACATGTTGGTTGAGTGGTTACAGATGAAATCTGTTAGCTGTGACATTCAGGAATAACTGGCTTCTGTTAGGGTTACCAGGTTGGGGTTTCTTAATGTATTTTTGGAAATCAATGTTTCCCACACAGAGAATGAAAAGATCTGAACCTGAGTGTTTTTTCCTTCCCAGTAACAATGCAGAGATCATACCAATATCACTTGTTTTCTAATGGTGACAATGCAGAGACCTTGATCAAACCCTCACGTGGGTGGTCTACAGAGCACTATACCAGTGTTCAAAACTTGAACTCAAGCTGACTGAAGTTAGTGGGAAAAAATCCCCATTTTATTCTATGGACCTGGATCTGAGCCTCTGATGAACCACAGCACGATGATGGCATTGGGGTGTTTCCAATTCAGGCTCTGTTGTGCTTTGAATAACACATGAAGTGCCTTATGAAGAGCCTGTCTCTTACTTGGTCATCCCACTGACTAGACACCAGTTTGGAGAAGATTTGACCCGGAGTGGAGCTTGGGTTTCACAATATATGTATCAAATTTATTTAAGAGTTTGTATTTCATTTCAGGATGATTGATTGGGTGTCCTGGCCCCTGGGAAAGAACATAGACAAGTGGATCATTGCTCTGTTGAAGGGTTTGGCTGCAGTGAAAAAGTTCAGCATCTTGATTGAAGTCACTCTTTCAAAAATAGAAAAGGTCAGTTGGCTCTTTTAAATGTGATGTGAACCACAGAAATATCAGCTTGTACCTGAAATATCATCTTGCCTTTCAACTGAATTGAGGATGAGATGTGACTTGAGATGTATAGAGAAGAGTTTGCTGTCCCAAGGGATACTGTTGTTGCAGCTAGGAATGATATTCCTCTGAACAACCTGGGGTTCTTCAGGTTTCGGTCTGCAGAGGTACTGATATCTTAAACGTTATGAAATAAAGTAGCCAAGAATTTTCAAGCCAACCAATCACTTTCCTTCCCAAACTATAGAGCTCTTGTGAAACTTGACTTTGGGAAGGTAACATGCTCTCCTTTGACTGTACCTGGATCAGTGCTGGCTGGCACAAGCAAAATACGTAATAGTGAACATATCAACGGTCCACACAGTCAGAGGTCAGTTTTAAAGCCTGTGTCCTGGTTTAATTAATTTATTAGTGCAAATAATGCCTGCACTGCCATTGCCATCACCTGTTTCAACAGTGAGTACTTCCTCTCTCTGAAAACTCTGTGACCAAGTGCCGAAATTGGTTGTCACTACTTCAAAAACTTTTTCCATGCTGTGGTCCTGCTGTTCCCTGCTTTGAATAATGGGGATAACACCTGGCTGAGCTGCCAGTGGAAGTCACCATAGAAGTTACTATGACTATGTTCTTAGGGATATGGTGGGCTTGGCAATGATGGATTAATGGTTGGGCTCAATGATCTTAGAGGTATTTTCCAACCTAAACGGTTCTGTGATTGTATAATTATCAGTACTGGAACACTATTAATAACTGCATTTGTTCTTGTGATACCCCAAGTGCATTGAGCAGTGGGAGAGTAGCCAAGCACCTCTGGCTTTTCTTTATCTTTTCTTTCATTGTTTATGCATAGGGAAGGGACACAGCCCTTAAAATAATGTGATTTTTAGAAACCTTCAAGACGTGTGATCTGAAAGGGGTAGAAGCTATATAGGTATTTCTTGTAAAGTAGAATAAATATCATTATTTCATCTTTGAAAAAGGTATTTGCTTTTTATCTCTTTACCTGAAAGGTTAGTGATAAAGTTCCAAATATCTTAATAAAATAGAAGAGGCACATTTTAGAAAATCTAGCATCCTGCTGTGCTTGCATGGCCTTGTTCATGAGGAGGTATGAAAATGCAGTGCTGTTACAGAGGCCTGCACCTTGTTGTGCCAGGCATTGCACAAGCCCAAAAGAGTGAGAATAACCCACATAGTGTTTTTAGGATGCCCTGAGGCAATGGTCTGGACAGGAGATGACTCTAGAGGCCTGATTGCAGGCTGTGTGCTTCAATATCCAACATGGATTAGGAAGAGACCAGCAGCTGTGGTAGATGCCCAGTGCCTTTCTTTCCTACCATTCCCTTCTTCTTCACTTTGCAATGCTATTCTGCCTTCTCATTTGCCTTTTTCTCTCCTTGTAGGTCTTCTCCAAGTTGCTGTACCCCATTGTGAGAGAGGGGGCTTTGTCTGTCCTGCAGTACATGCTGCTGAGCTTCCAGCACTCCCACGAGGCATTTCACTTGGTAAGGCTGTGTCTGACACTTGGATGAGGGCATTGCCCTGGGTGTAAAACTATGCTGTGGGGCAGCACAGGTAGGGGGAGACCTAAGGTGCTGAGATATTGGGCCATCTTTCAAAGCATTGTACGGCGTCAGTGCAATAGGACTAGAGGAGTGGATCAGAACACTTCCACTACACAGATTCTCTGCTGTTAAAAGCAAAACCAACTTTTGACAGCATTTAAATCTCCACTTTTCGTTTGCACAGTGATATTTTATATTTTGTTTTGCTGTTGACACGAAGGCACAGCTCTGCATCCCGCTGGTGTTACCTCTGGAATGCTGAATTTAAAAAGTGAGGCTGAAGGCAAAAGCATGCTTGCAGTGATTGACTTGATAAAAGTAGTAATGGAAAATTACTTGTATTAATGTTTGAGTTCATACTTTCTTGTTAAAGCCCTTACCTTTGGCTTTTTACCTAAAGTTCGCAGAATAAACAGATAAGGCTGGAAAAAAGCAAACCTAGACAATATTTTCATTTTTCATTCCTCAGCTGGAGACACTTTAAATGAGCCTGAATTTCTTGAGAATCTCTTTAGTTTCTAAAAATAGGGTCATTCCAATGTATTGTCTTCGGCTGGGTGTCCAAATTTTGAAACACTTCAGAAGCTGTCAGTTGCTCTTGGCTTGAAGTTTCCATCTGCAGCCCAACGAGTTTAAATTTCCTCCTTTATTTAAAAAAAAAAAATCAGGACAGAAACCTCTCCTGCTTCTAATATTTTGTGTTTGCCCTGGCACTTGGGAAGAATTCTTCCCACCACAGCTTGGCAAAATTTTGATGTATAAAATGGTGATGGAATTGATTTGTTTCCCCAACAAATCTTTCCTGTTGGAACAGAAATAGTTAAAATCCTCAACATTTTGAAGAGAAAGAAAAAGAACAGGAGAGGAAGACCGAGGGAGGAAGAGAGGACCAGGAAATGGCTGGACTGGGATCCTGATACTTTACCAGGGATTATTCTGAGCTAAAAATGACATAAAATATAAATATGAAAAAGGTTGTGTAACTGCCCAGGGTCATTGTAGCACATCTGCAGGGTTGGAAATAGGTTATTATTTTTTTGTGCAGCTGTGGGGTCAGCAGAGGGTGCCCATGAGCAATGGATTGTTTGCATTTGCATCTGCTCGTGCAAAATAACAAACCTGCTGTTTATATGCCTGTTGCCACCCATCCGACCACACCAATTCCAGTTCAGTTTATTCAGTATAAAATAGAGCACAGCAGACAACACTTATTTTAGGCTAATTCCATCTATCTTGCAAGTTTGAATCCTTGTACTTGGCAGTTGGCATATAATGCTCCTTTCCGCTGTGGATGTGGGATTTAGGAGACACTGAAGCATGGCAACTGCAGTTCAGCAAAGCAGCAATACAAACCTGCAGGTGTCATGCAGCATGAAACCCTCTAAGGTTGACTAAAGTCAGTGGAAGAGTTGCTGTTGAGTTCATAGGGTGAAGTATGAAGTCCAGAATGGGACTGAAGTCAACTCCTGTATATTGTCTTTTCTGCCTGTGGGTGAATATCATTCCACCAATTGTATGTTAAAGCTCTGTGAGTAATTTGGAGTAATTTTTGTAGTGAATTTTCCTTTTTCAGCTACTCCCTCACATCCCCAGGCTGGTGGCCTCTTTGAAGAAGGAGGATTCCAATTCAGCAACCAGCTCCCTGGAGCAGCTGGCCGAGCTCATCCACTGCATGTTCTTCCGCTTCTCAGGATTTCCAGACCTCTATGAACCTGTCCTGGAAGCAGTTAAAGTAAGATATACACTTTTCAGTGATTTTTCTGCTTTCCATATGGAAATGGCATCTTAATTGGTAGCCTAGTACAGAGGGACTGACCTACTGGTAGGGATGTAATAAACCTCAACAACACCTGAAATTGTAGTAGAAGAAAGGGTTTAAAATTCTGAGTCTGAGCTCTGCCTAAGCAGGTTGAGGGAAGATACTTCACTAATGGTGGGCCTGCAGAAGTCCTGATGTTACCTGTAGATTTTAGTCATAACTTTATTCTGGAATGCCTCTAAAGGACTAATATGGTCAGGTAAACACCTCCTTGCATGGAGGCATGTTCATGTGAAGAGCAGGGAAAATGAGTTTTGTGAGAACACCTCTAGCAGAGGAAGTTTTGCAGTTGCCCATTACTAATTCTTCACAGGCAAAGATCAGTCCTAGTCACAGGATCATAGAATCTCCTGAGTTGGAAGAGATCCACAAGGATCATCAACTTCAACTCCTCACCTTGTAAAGGAGAACCTCAAGAATCACACCATATGCCTGAGAGTGTTGTCCAAATGCTTCTTGGCTTGGTGCAGTGACCACTTCCCTGGGAAACCTGTTGCAGTGTCTAGCCACCCTGTGGTGGACACTTTTCCTAATATCCAACCTAAACGTCCCCTGACTGTGCTTCATGCTGTTTCCTTGTGTCCTATCACTAATCACCAGAGAGAAGAAATCAGTGCCTGCCCCTCTGCTTCCCCTTGTGAGGACAGATAATGACTCGTAACACAGATCTCTTTTTCCAAGGCTCTTCCTATTCCAAATGAAGACCGGATTAAACACCTCTTGGGACAAAATGCTTGGACTTCCCAGAAGAATGAACTGGCCTGCTTCTACCCACGCCTGGCATCTAAATCAGAGACAGGAAAGATCGGGTTAATTAACTTGGGAAACACCTGCTACATGAACAGCATCATACAGTCTCTTTTCATGGCTTCGGAGTGAGTTTTTCCTCACTTGCTCCCATTCAAGGCTGCTCCAGGGCTTACTTGTCACACCAGCCTTGCATGCCCCACACTGATTTTCCATCTTACATGTTGCACCTCTGCTTTTCTTTCGCAGCTTTCGGCATTCAGTGTTGAATTTAACTGAGGGCAACTCCCAGCCCCTGATGACAAAGCTCCAGTGGCTCTTTGCATTTTTGGAGCACAGTCAGGTAATTATTTCATGTTCTAGTTATTTGTTTGGACTGTCGGCTGCGGAAAGGCTCGTCTCCAAGTTGCTTCCTGCCGGCTCCAGTGTGCTGATAAGGAGCTCTGGATCTTGGTGGGTTTTTATAATGGGACAAATTTTGTTTATATGAAGGAGGCTTATTTTTGGAGGTGGAGGAGGGAAGCTCCTGTCACCCATGAAAGTGAGCTATGTTCATCCAGGCTGTCTATCTTCAGCTTGTGGTCTTCTTGGGTTGGGCTGATGTAATGTTGACAATGAAGTCCCTTTGGTAATAGTTTACATCTGTGGGCTTGTTAGTGTAAAGCAGAGGTTTTGTTTCTTGCTATGCAGCAAGGAAAAAGACTGGAGCAGCTCACTTGTCCCATTACTCCACAGCAAAGCACAACCAATCAATGAAAATTGCCTTAAAAGTTGTTTTGTTAAAGAATAATAATAAAAAACCCCTTAGACTCCAATACTTTGAATCCTCTGTGTGTGAGGGAAAGTAAAATAAAAATAACACCCTTAAACTAATTATGAATGTTTCCATGACATTTAATAAGCATGAAATTTAATAGAAGTGACTCCTGGAGATACAGCTAAGTCATATCTAACTCCTCTCTTGAAAATGTATCTTTCTGTCCCTAGAAAGATGGGATTTTGAAAATCCAGTGAATTTTCCTTTGCTGGGTAACGAGTCATCTGGGCTTCTCCATTTTCCAAGCCTTGACTGACAGAGCTGGGTTGTGGCATTGTGGTATTATGTCACTACAGATGACTTAGGGGGAAAATGTAGATATCCTGTTAAATTTAATATTTGGTCATAGAAGAGTCTAGTATTTGATAGCAGGTTAGGGCATCTGTGTTCTGTGATGAGCAAGTACAGAAGCATATTTGCTTGTTGTGTAGTTGATGGTTAATAGTTTCCTGATAATTTCCTTTTAGTTATTTTTCTTCTTTGGGCTGTTCTTAAAGTCATTTTTTTACTAAAGATGGGTCTTTTTCCATGTTAATTAGACAGCTGCTTCCTAATGGCATCAATTACATTATCTGTTAATGCAGATTACCTGCCTGCAGTGATCAGAATGTTGGGTGGAAGTTTAGCGCATTTTTTGCCTTTTTTTTTTTTTTTTTATGAAAGGATTTGGTGAGAGAGATCCTGATCAAATTAAATGGAGCAGCAAATTAAATTCAGACTGAATTAAGCAGAATTATCTGGTTCAGGCCAATAAACCATTTTAAAACTGAAGGATAGACACTTGGATATTTTATAGAAGTATATGTAAAATAATGTCTGAAATTCATCCTTACTGTCCTGGCTTGTAGCAAACCAAGAAAGTCTTCCTGTGCACTGGGATTAGTCTTTGTAGGGAGAAAAAAGGGATCTTATCAAGCACAGAACACTGTGCTTGCAGTGAAACAGGCAGAAAGGCATTCCTCTCCCCTCTCCCAGTGTGAACTGAGAAAAAAATCCCTAGGATTAATTGCATTTCTTCTGTGTTGCTGGCAGCGACCTGCCATCTCACCTGAGAGCTTCCTCTCTGCCTCCTGGCCACCCTGGTTCACCCCTGGAGCTCAGCAGGACTGCTCAGAGTATCTCAAGTACTTGCTGGACCGGTACGTGACAGGCTCCATGATTTCGGAGCCTGGTGTCAATGGCATCCCTGGACCAAAAGTAATGTTTAATGCTGACCCACATGCACATGAGAGTGGAGGCTTGGGGCGAGACATGGTGAAACTAATCAGAGGCTCCTTGATAAAACCCTGATTGGGCAGTCCTAGGGGTAAGGTCAGAACTTAGTTTGGCTTGAAAATTTCTGCCTTTGCTCTGAAGGCAAGAGAATTCATAGAATCATAGGATCATTAAGGTTGGAAAAGACCTCATGATCCAATCATTAACCTGACACTGCCAAGCCCACCACTAAACCATATCCCTAAATGCCACATCTACACATATTTTGAACACTTCAAATGTTGGATGCAGGAATGGTGATTTCACTACTTCCTTGGACAGTCTGTTCCAATGCTTGACTACCCTTCCAGTGAAGAAATTTTATCCAGTCTAAAATTGTACCAACTTTAGAGATTTACCTGACAAGCCACTCAGCCTCCTCTGTAAAATGGTGGGGTTTGCCTTTCTCTTACCTAGAAATACCAAATCTCTGGTGTGCCACTGATCCCTCTGGAAGTAGGGAATCAATTTCACACAGAGCCTTCAGGTTCCCCAATCCTGCTCAACTCCTTCCTGCCTTCCTCCTGCAGCATCAGACGTCTGGGTACAGACAGGTTAACTGGGATTAACTGCTTGGAGTGAAGAACAGGAACCCTACTTTAGAAACTACCTCTTGGTGTTGTATTGATTCAGCCTTTTTCTCCCCTGCTAAAGGTTGCACGAAGAAGAAAAAACTGGGAAAAGGATCTACCAGAAACTCAAGGAATCCAGCTTGATGTCTCAGGCAGTAGAGCATCATTACTTAAACAAGACATTGATTGAGAAGATGTTTGGGGGTAAAATGATGACAAAGATCCGCTGCTTGAAGTGCCTGAATGTCTCTTCCCGAGAAGAAGCCTTCACAGACCTGTCCCTGGCTTTTCCTCCATCAGACAGGAACATGCATGGTAGCACACCTATTCTACCAGTGGAAGAAATTGGCCCACAGTTCATTGAGCCTCCTGTAAATGCAGGCCAGCTTGCAGGGTCTCCATGGATCCGGAGGAAGGCCCCCATGGCGGGGGATCCTGCAACCCTGCCAATGTTGGTGGAAACATTGGGCTTCCAGGAGCCGGGAAAAGCAGCAAATCCCTTAAGTGGCAATGATGTTAGTGTGGATACAGCCAAAGACCCTTTCCCCGCTTTTGGGGAGCAGGCATGTGCTCCCAAGGACTCCAGATCTGTCCCAGATCTAATCAACTATTTTCTTTCACCAGAGAGACTGACAGCAGAGAATAAATACCACTGTGAGAAATGTGCATCCCTGCAGGACGCAGAGAAGGTGGCAGAGCTGACAGAGGGTCCACACTACCTCATCCTCACGCTGCTGCGCTTCTCCTTCGACCCACGGACTATGAAGAGGAAGAAGATCTTGGACAACATCTCCATCCCTGTGGTGCTCAAACTACCCATCCTTGTTACTCCAGAGGAAACTGAGGAGGTTTGCCGGTGTGGGAAGGATAGTGCTGCCCCAGGAAGTGGCTTCATGTCTGTATTGTATGATCTCTGCAGTGTAGTGGTGCATTCAGGCATCTCCTCTGAGAGCGGCCACTACTACTGCTACTCCAGGGAGTGCACTGACACTGTCCCCCACGAGCAGCCCCGGGATGGGGTGCCAAAACCAGCCTCTGACAAACAGTTGGACTTGGAAATCCAGTGGTACCTCTTCAATGACACCAGAGTTTCCTTTTCCTCCTTCGAATCAGTCAGCAATGTCACCTCGTTCTTCCCCAAAGACACTGCCTATGTCCTCTTCTACAGGCAGCGGCCGGGCAGGCAGAGCTGCCTGCTGCATGAGGCCCTGGCTGAGGCTGGCCACCTGCACGGAGAACCTTCCCTCCATAAGGACCTGATGGAAGCAATTTCCAAAGATAACATCCTCTACTTGCAGGTAACTCCCACTGCTGTGCACAACAGGGTGCGATCTTGCAGCTGTCCGGCTCATGGGCCATGTTCCCACCCATCCGAGCAGCAGTGGGATCATGTCCCGTGGTTAAAATCCTGCAGATACCCACCCACTCCCTGAAGCCAAATCCCTTTTCCTTTTTGCACCCAGATATAAACAGGTTACAGTTTCCTGTTGAAACTGGGCACTGAGATTGGTACAAGACACCTTGTGCCTGTGCTCAGGGTAGACTTGCTGTTATCTGCCCTTGGGAGTTCAGCCTGAAATTTTCTTCTGAGTGCCTGGAAAAGACAGAATGATGGAATAGTTTGGGTCAGAAGGGACCTTTAAAGGCCATCTAGTCCAAGCCCCTACAGGATGAGCAGGGACATCTTCAACTAGATCAGGTTGCTCAAAGCCCTGTCCAACTTGACCTTGAATGTTTCCAGGGATGGATCATCTACAACCTCTCTAGGAAATCTGTCCCAGTGCCTCACTACCCTCATTGTAAAAAACTTGTTCCTTACATTCTACCCTTTCCTCTTCTTCCCACCTTTGCTCACGGGTAACCAGCTGTTCCTTCCTACCACCTCTGACATTCATCTGAGCCATTGCAAGCCAGGTAGATTTTTTTTCTCCTTCTTATCATAGAATCACAGGATGGTTTAGGTTAAAAGGGACTTAAAGGCCATCTAGCTCCCTTGGACAGGGGCACTTTCCACTAGACCAAGTTGCTCAAAGCCCCATCCAGCCTGACCTTGAACACTTCCAGGGATGGGGTATCCACAGCTGCCCTGGGCAAACAGATGAGCTGGGAATACAAACTAGAACAGATTTCATTCAGCTGGTGGAGTTCAACGCTTTCCAAACAGTAGTATCCCATTTGACAATAACAGCATGTGGGAGAATTTGAGCGGTCCCTCCTCTCCCAGAGGGGGTATGGAAGGGCTGGTTTTTGATCGCTGGAGCGATGCAATGCTTTGCTGCATCCTTCTCACTGAACTCTAGAGATGAGCATGTGGCCTTCACACCCCAGTTTAATTTGGAGGAGGCTCCCAAGGGTAAGCAAACAGGCTCCTGGCTCCTCTGGGATGGTGGGAGCGTCCTCCCACCTGGGTCCTTCAGTTGCTGATATCCTTGTGGCTTTTTCCCTCTTCTTTCTCTCAGGAACAGGAAAAAGAAGCGAGGAACAGAGCCGCCTATATTTCTGCCTTGCCAAAATCCCCGCTGTGGTGGAGAGACTTGGACAAGGACAAGGATGATGACAGCTCATCAGGGGGCTGCAGCCCAGCAGCAGGTGGGGGCGGATCCAGCTCCTTTCATGGACTCGTCTTCTAGCCAATGGGCTAAACCAGATAGGTAGTGTCCGTGGAGCCAACCTGAAGCCAGAGGCTCCTCTTCCTCACCCTGATGACAGGGAGCATCTCAGAAGAGGATCTGAGAAACATTTCAATGAAAAAGGACTCAGGGGCTGATTTGGAGGCATCTGGAGGGTCTTGCTGCTTCCTATGCACTTGGTCTTCATGCCTTAACGTACCTAAGCTAATGCGATGAGCAGCTGCTGACAGCTCGGAGAAGTGCCCTTTTGCTTCAGTATAGCCATGCCTTGCTTGCTGTGAGCCATGCCACTAGCCTGGGGAGGGGACAGGGACAGGCTTGGGGAGGAAGACAGACCCAGAGGGGCCCCAGGGATGGAGATGTCCTATGCACATCCCATCTGCAGACCTTCCCATGGCGCTGTTTGTTTTGGGGCGACCTCTGCTCAGTTGTTTTATTTCTTTTTAATGTGGTTTTGAGAACCCACCTTGACACATCTTTAAAGGTAGAAAAGTCTGAAAACTGCCAAGTATCTAATGTAGCAATGCTGATCTGTGAGGCAGTGAGCTTGCAAGCCTGCTTGGTCACAGCGAGTGGTGGCAGGCTGACCAGAGGGGCTTTATGCTGCATTGCAAGGCATCCAAAAGAGACTGAAGGGCACAAACCCCTCCAGCCAAGAGAGACTGATCTGAACCAGTTGGGGGTTCTGGGCTCCAGTGAAGACCTGCTGTGTTACTAGTGACCTCTGGATACTGTTAGTGTGCACATCAGGCCCAGACACACAGCAGTTTTTCCAGATGTGTCTTTAGGACTTAGTTAGCCTCTTTCTGCTGCTGTCATTTGATGGCTTTCTGGGCTGTATCTGCCCTTCAAAATTTGGGCTTTTCTTTGGGACACCCTGCACTGAGCAGCAAATGACAGAGCTCCCCTAAACTCACTAGCTATTTTTAAAAAAAAAATGCTGATTTGCAAGGAGAGGATAGATATATCAACCCAATATAAATACATACTATGTAAACCAATGTATTGTATAAATCAGTAATGGGACAGGGGCTGATTTTGGTGACAGGTGGCCAGCTCAAGCCCCAGGCAGCACATCTACCAGGACCACAGCTCCCTCCCATCTCCCTCCCCAACTGTTGTCCCCAGCCTGCTCCTCCCTCACGCCTGTAGTAGAGGTATCTCCAGCTCAAGTGGCAGAGACTTGTGCCTTAGGTCCTAAGTGCAGGACCTAATCCTGACCATGGGGTATTGGGTTGGGAATATTGTTTTGCTGTGGAGGAAAAGGCAAAGCATAGACATTGCTATGGATAATGTGGGCAGAAAGTCTGCTAGAGAGGACACTTGGGATCAAATCTGTAATGTATACTATTGTATTCTTTTATTGCCTTTCCTATATATAAATAAAGGAAATTAAGTAATTCAACATAGAGACTTAGTGTCTTATTGCAGTACTCACAGCTATTGGGCTGATGGGTCAAAAAAGAGATGGGAAAGCTGATGCGAGATGAGCATCCAGCCTCACAGATGTGGACAATCCTGCAGAGAGGTGACTTGGAAGAGGAGAGCAGGCAGAGTTGGAATGGGGATCCCAGGCCACAGCTGGGTGCCTTCCAACAGAAGATCACAATTCTAATAGTGGGGTCTTGCAGATGAGCAGTGGAACGTGTTTGTTGCCTTTAAGTCAGCTAGACTCAAGGCAGTGCTAAGAGGCAATAAATGTGGACCCAAAGCTTAAATTTCACAGAAAGTACAGTGTTTCCTGGTTTCATTAATAGACTGCTATTTACCTCCTGTTCAAAGAAGTTGCCAAAAGTTTTCCTGTTGCTGTTGTCCTAACTCCTTTCTTTCTGCCAGAGTGTCACCTGGAGGCATTTTCTGGCGCTTTTGTAGGAAACTGTCTTTCCTTGATGAGATCCTAATCTAAATGACGAAGTCAGATAGTCAAACCAACATGGAAAATAGAGAGGCTGTATCATAGTCATGCTCTTTGCCGAACATGTCTTTTTATCCCCCAAGGTATTCTGAGAGAAGCAGAGGCAAACAGCATGCAATGCTCAGCACGGAGAGCAACCTGGAGAGTTTCAATGGTGTAATGAGGTTGTTTGGTTTAGTCTCTGTTCATTTCCTGTAGTTATTAGCACTGGGCTTAGCTTTTGGACTCAGCCAATCCCACTATGTCATTGATGAAGATACTAAATAGTATTGGCCCCCGTATGGATCCTTGAGGGACACCACTCATTGCTGATTTCCATTTGGACACTGAGTCATTGACTGTAACTCTTCTGATGCAGCCATCCAGCCAATTCCTTATCCATCTAACGGTCCAGCCATTCATCAAACCATCTCTTTCCAATTCATGGGTAAGAATGTTATAGGGGACCATATTAAAGGCCTTATAGAACTCCAGTATAGCATGAGTATGGTATATTACTATATGCTACAACAAGTATAGTATATACTGTATTACTAGTGTTAGTAATGCCAGTGATATTTGCATATTGTATATTGATAAAGTATATGCTATAGTATATGTGGTAGTATGGCCTGTAGTGTCTGTCACACATGCCTCTGGTCAAGGAGAACCCAGAGGGGAGTCCTCAGCTCTTGGTTTGGGATCCCAGATGTGCTGCAGATGTGAGGTGATGCTACTCGTCTAAAAAGGGTGTTACAGGGGCTGTGCTTATGGACATATCTTTCCACAGTTGTCCTTTTTTTTTTTAGAAAAAGTATATATAAGTGCCTTGAAGGAGAAGGTTGAACTTTTAACTCTGGGGAAAGAATTTGTCCTTGTGCTTATGTTCTATGGGTGATTTGGGGCTCACAGATGTCGAGCTGCTGATGGGTGCAGAAGGCAGCACTTGTCCTTACTCTGCACATGGTTTGGGTCCTGGTATCAGAAAACCCCCTAGCTGCATCCTAAAGGTCCTCATTACCCAGATAGGACAACTTGAAGCTGTAAGAGACTCTTAGTGACATGCTGAGAAGATGCTCTGAAAGCTTTAAAGGTGCTACATAATTGAACTTGATCTGCTCTTCTCATGAATTCCCCCCTTCTCTCCCCACTCTGAATCCATGCTGGGAATCACCAGTGAGAGATGTCTTTTTATTATCATTCTTTTATTTTCCCATTGCTTTCCCGTTGCATATACAGTACTTAAAAATGAGATCACCTTCACGTCAGGCATGTACCATGTTTATTAACAGCAAAAAAAGTATTATCTATGTTTCACTCAAGACCGATTTACAGGATAAATAATTGTTTCAAATTACCTTTAAAAAACCAAACGACAAACCCCTGAAGAATAAATTAATAACTTAAGTGATTAGCTGTCCACAGTGATTTGAAAACTTAATAACCATTCAAACAGTGACACCACAAGAAGACACATACTGTACAGTTTGCCACAAATTACTCTTTTCCTTCCTTCTACAAATGGAAATCAAAAAATTAAAAATACTCCTCTTTAAGAACAGTCATAGGCTTTGAAACACACAAAACGTCCCTGCGAATTGGCTGCCAATGCAACAGCTTCACAGCTGGGGCTCCGACCCCTCCTCGCAGCAGGTTAAGAGACACATGGAGAAAACTACCCTAATTTGGCTGCATTGTGTGGCATGTTCCCACGCAATGATGCCCAAAGTCAGTGGGGATATGCTGACTTTGCCAAGGGCTAGATTGAGTGGGATATAACTACTCTAAAAGGTTTGATCCTAACCCTACGGAACTCATCAACAGGCTCCCTGCTCCCTTCCTCTCTCTGTGATGTGCTTCAACCACTACGTCCAAAAGGACCAGCTGGCCATGGGTTGGAAGGGGGATAGCTGTTTAGTGGCACCTTGCTACATATCAACTACTGAATTAACAACCCAATCAACAGTACAACACTAGGAGTTGTGAACAAGGAGATAAAATTGTGACTACAATGATGGGACACCAAGAAGAAATCATGACCAAAAGGTGCACATCTCTACCTGCAAGAACCTCATTAACAGCTACAAGATCATCGCATACATGTGGACAGGTTAGGCAGAGAAGAGAGGCACACAGACTCATCAGGGGCCTATTGGTTTATTGGCCCTTGTGAATTGATGCTGGACTGGTCCCTCTGATTTTCTTGACAGTTCTTTGATGTCCATGCATGTTCTCTGACTGGTGTCAGGGGTTAGGCTTTGCTCTTCCCCCTTCCCATTACAAGTAGGGCTTCTCCATAATCACAGCCCCACTGTACCCATCTCATCCAGCCAGCATCCCTTCAATGGGGCACATTGTGTGGGTGAGTGTCAACTTTTACATAGAATGGAACTATTACATCATCAGGTGGGAAAACATCAACACAATGCAAGCATAATTTGAGAAAACCATTCTCTTACCTCCTAGGCCAAAAAGATCAGACAGGACCTGGGAACTATTTTAACATCTTCTTACTAAAGTCTACACCACATAAGAAAGATCTGGGCATAGCTCTACCCCTCCCAAGGAGCCATGATCAATGGGTAGCCAAAACAAGCCAATTCTTCCTGGTATGCTCAAAGGACTGGGATGCCAGGGTGTAGGAGCTGGCATGGAGCTGCTGAGGATTCTAGGTTAGTCTCTAGCATAAAAAATTTATAGGTTCAAGCTGTCTTCCAGTTGCTTGGACTGTGTGTCTGTGTCCTGGATAACTTGGTCTGGGCCAGCCAGCCCTTTCCCAGGTGCAAGGGATGACCCCAGTATGCATTAGTTCCTCTTGCTGGTGCATACGGCCTTAGAGGTTGAGCTGTTTTCTTTGACAGTTGGTTTCATGGCTTCACAGAAGAAGTGGCCCTGTCCCAGTTTTGGATGTTATAGGGCTCTAAGCAACACTTTTGGCCCCTTCCCTCACATGGAGGAGTCTCCACTCAACCCCAGCAGCACAGGATCTCAGGGTGGAAGAGATGTCTCTAGTCTCACCCCTTGCTCCAAGCAGGGTCAGCTATGGGGTTGATCCAGACTGGTCCTGAAAAGCTCCAAGAATGAAGATAGTACTTCGTAGGACAACTCTGAGAAGCCATGGCACTGCTGCCCCATGAACAGCTCATGGGAGCCCCACAGCAAGGTGTCTCTCAGCACATACTGGTCCCCACCACATTTCTTGTAGGGCTTCTCCTGCCCATCTCAGAACTGTGTGAATGGACCAGAGATCCCTGAAAGCCAGAGCACTGAGGCATCACATTGTCACGCACTCACCCACTGAGAGTGAAATGCCCTGGGTAAGTCCCGAGAGTGGTGGGAGCTCCCCTCCCACCAGTGCATGGTTTTTACTGAGTAAAAGCCCCCAAATCTCTATATACCTGACTCGAGACTCATGCCAAAGGAGCACATGGTGAGGACTAAGACTTAGGCCATGCTGGCAAACTCCCCTGCCTTCTCTCCTTCCAACCACATGTTTCCCCATACATCAGCCTTGTCAGTGGCTGGTGGCCCAGTGTCCAAATCTATCCTAGTTAGCCCCCATCAACCCAAGCCTTAGCTACCTTTGGTTCTGGCTCTGTATTTAGCCTTATCTGCCAGACTCTCAGCTTTGCCCTGGCAAAGTCTGCATTCACACGTATTTTCTTTTTCCAACTTGAGACTAAGCCTAAACCTGGCATCCATTTAGAGCTAGAAATGTATTTCACACTAAACACTCAAATGTCAGTTCAGAGCAAATCAACTCCAAGGCAGCTCACAGAACTCACCAGACAGAAGAACTGTGAGCAGCAGTTGCAGACTTACAGCAAGGGATACACACTTTTGGAGACTTTTGCTTTTAAACCCAACAGCTTAGAAATTTTAAAGCTTGGGGAAAGCTTTGAGCCATGGCCCTGGTGCTTCATAAAAAGTAAATAAGTGAGGTCATGATGCTTGTCCTGCCACACACATGCAAACACATCCCTTTTCTGAATGGGACCACAGAGCTGTAGAGCAGGCTCTGACGTGAAGGCTCAAGCCATTTAAATTGCAATTAAAATGAATAATTTGCAATGTTCTCAGCTTCCTAAAATACCTATTTCTAACAAAAGAGTCAGTCATACTTGAGCATCCAAGTATAGAGTGGATGTGATAAACTCAATGCCTTGAGGACAAAGTTCTTGGCAGTCCGTGTAATTAAAGCAGCTGCTTTTCAATATGGTTTAAGACTAAATACTGCACAAACATTAATCATCAGGGACTGCTGTAATCAGCTCAGCAATCGTTACAGATGACTATTTCCACTGAAGCCATTGATTACTTAACAGCTTTCAGGAGGGGTTGATACAGTCACGTCTATAGGGCATAGAGTCTGTGGGCTGCTACTCAGTTTGGAGGTGCTGTTTGCTTGGTGCATAGCAGGGGAAAAAATTGGAGAAATGTATCTGTTTCTGTTCAAACACAGACTTCACTGCAAAGCGGAGAGCGATGAGCAACCAGCAGTTTCAAAATAGCTACTTTTGGGCTGTTTTGGTCCTTGGTCTGCCAAATGCAATGGGCCAGTTACCGGTGATGCTCATGAGAGCAAATCATTAAAACAGGGGATCTGAGCTTGGGAAAAGTGCTATCCCATGCCAGTGCTTGCCCCATGAACAAATACAGACACTTGTGAAACATGGAGAAAAAAAAGGCCTAGTCTCTCCAGTATCGCAAAAGGCCTTTTCTGTCTTAATTAACACTTTGGATTATATGTGAGAGCAGGCACTGGATGCATCTAGTCCCAGTGCAGAAGCACAGGGCACCCACTCAGCAAACTGCATCCAAACCCATCGTGTTTCAATCAAACCTACTGTGTTTCAAGCCCCTGCACCATCAGAAATGACTACTGCTGCTGCCTCCACCTTGCCTACCCACTTCCATGGTACCGAGATGCAGTGATGACAGGGGTGATAGAAATACAGAGCACTGTACTCTAGTCTTCATTTCCTCATCTCACCAGGCAAGTGTGCAAGCCCCCAACAGGAGGCAATGGCCGTTAAAGGCGGTAACATACTCCCTGACCTTCAGAAAGCATCTGACTGTGCTAAATCTTCCCCTTTGGGTTTTTTTTCCTTCTAGTGATTATTATTTTACCACGAGCATTAGGATATTTGCTTCATTATTTCAATGCCCTAAATGGGTTGTCAGACCTTTTCCATTAACATCCTTCCCTTTCACGGAATGCAAGAAGAAAATATAAAATGGTGTTGGAAGTTCAAAAGTTATTTTACCAGCATACCCTTAAGTGGCTGGTATCCCATCCCTCTGTGGGTCACGTCCGGCCCTTTCCAAACTCAAACCAAAATTAAACAAATGTGTTAACGCTTAAGCATTAATAATCAATATAACTTGGTGGTGTTGGTGGAACACAGAGCTCATGGTACTGGGAGAGGTTCAGCTTGCAGAAAGAACAGCTCTAGCTATTTAATAAATATTATTACCTCATCTTTCTAATGTTTCCTTCATTTGGCTCTCGGTTTGCAGTCAACCTGTTTATTCGTGTCAGCGCTTGCTGTCTGGCAATCAGGCTGCTCCATGGTAATCATAAGTTCTTCCTGTTTTCATGAGATCATGAATTATTATCTCTGCATTAAACTGTCTCATCCTTCTTGTCTCTCTGTGTCCAGCAGCTGCCTGGAGAGTGATCTCAAAGCCTGGATGTGTTAAGGATGCTGGCAAGGGGCAACAGCAGATTCCCACCCATAATTAGAGCATAGGGTTGTTAATGTCAGCAAGCCCCATTTCTGTGTTGAACATTGCTGAAGACGAGGAGAAAACAGTCCAGCCTTTCGGACCCTCCACAAACCAAACAAAATGCTATGTAAAAGCTAATATTGAAACACCTTGCTCTGACTGTCCTGACCAGCCTCTTCCCAAGCCTGTGACCTCACTATCAACCAACATTTCAATTAATCTTCTTTCTTCCGAGAAACATTCCACCAGACTTCCTCACTCAAGACCAACCTCTGCATCTGCCTTCTCCCAGTCCTTGCAGCAGCCTTCCACTCCCTTCTTGTCACTCATCCTTACACCAGTCTAGATACACAGGGTCTCCAGAGCCTCCCTGCACCCCTCAGAGCTTCTCACAATGGCCACAGATGTAAGACTCTCACTATATGGGCTTCTTTTGGTGCCACAAAGGGCAAATTTTGGTTCTTGGGATCAGATTCACAGGAATTGATTTCAGACAGGCAGTGGGTCAGGGCTTAAATTCTAGCTTCCAAAGCCAATCTCTCCAGCCCATTGACTTTGAGAGATGCTGGAAAATATCAACAGAAGACACCCCAACAAACTTGTGTGAGCATGTGCCAGCATGTTTTGTGTGTATGATGGGGTAAGTCCTGGACTTCTAAGTTAGCTCAATGGGACAGAGTGGATACTCCTCAAGCTCCTGAAAGTTAACAACCCCAACCAAAACCACAGGGGCTGTCTGACCAGGAGGAGAACAGCCTTCAGAGGTTTTGAGCATATTATTTACAAGAGATCAGACAACAAAAGTGATTTCAAAAGGAATGGTTCTTGCTAAGTTTTGGGATTGGGAGGAGGCAGAGAAGAGAACAACCATAAGTAGTGGAAATCAGAGCTGGTGAATGATGTCACATGGGAGATGCTACAAACCTGCATGGCATGGTTTGGGGTATGGTATGGAAGAAGACAGAGAGTGTTAGCACATACAAGGTGGCTTTGATAGCTGTAAGCAAAAGATGTTGTAGGGTGAAGCCTGGTATTGCTAAATCGAAATTCCTGGATAGTGCATCCAGCAGCTAAAGCACAAAACCAGCCACCGAACATAGTTGGTCTTTATCACTGGCAAACAGTATCCGCCAAGTCTTCCCCTGAAATTAAGTTTTGTTTTGTTTTAAGAGAAAAAAAATTAATGAGACCCCCTTCCCTCCACAGACAAGTCTTAGAAATCCAGCCCAAGTGGAGCTGGGGAAAACCGACAGGACATTGGCCTGTTTTGATGCCTGCTGCAGGCACTACTGCTTCACGCTTTTGGCAGGCTCCGAGGACTGCCGCACATCAGTCCACTCTTGCATGGTGCTCTGCAGCGCCTGTGTCTTCTCCTTGTCCACTTGCACATAATCAACCTTCTCATCTGAGGCGACCGATGAGGTGGAGGGCTGTGGGGAGGAGAAACAGGGTCACTTGTCAGCTCCCTGCTTGTCCCCCTTGATCCTTCCTGCAGCAGCACTGAGGGTGCCACAAGTCCACCAGCACCATTCCTGCTTTCTTGCAGACTCCATAGCTCATCACCCTCCCTCTAACCTCCCAAAGAGACTTGGATAAAAGATTTCAGTCTGCTCTGCCTCTTGCTGGCATGAGACTGGTGCAATGGAAGGGCAGAAACAGCACCTGGGTCTTTACCTTCCCACAAACTCTGGGACATAGATGTTTGGTTGCAATTTTGTTCTCTAACTGCTGATATTGCAAATTCAGCCTTACATTTTGCTCATTTCTCAAGAACTCTTACAGATACACATAAAAATCCCAGCTCCATCCCTTTTAGCGCTGCTGATTCTACCCACCGATGGCGCTAACGCATTTTCACTCTCAAAACAACAGATATGTTTGCAGGTTCACCCAGGAGACATGTTAAGGAAGAAGGAGATACTTTTTACCATAGTTTCTGAGGTCCTGGAGCTTTTTCTGCCTCTACAAGCATTTGAGAGGACCTCCATCAGCTTGCAACTGGACCAGATAATGTCTATAAGTGGTCTGAAATCACTTCTACGGGATGGGATATAATTTAAATGGGTAGTACTTGCAAAAATATTGCTGGGCAGACAGACGCCATCAAGGGACAACTGTCAAATAATAAAAAGATTTAATGGGATGCTTTCCCTAGGAAACAAGGTGGTGTTTGAGAAAGTGAGGCCAACTCACAAGTGGTTGCCACAAAGGTTTATACAATCCCTGTCCTCCACTGTCCCCTCACTCAGGTGCTGCTTTGTTTGAGTCAGTCTCTCCTTCCCCCTTCAAGTTTGCTCAGGATAGCATACAGCAGGACCTGTCTTTGTTCCCTGCCCAGCCCGCTCTGTCACCTCTGGGTGTCCTCTTCATCTTGGTATATGGCCTTGCATGTGAAACCTTCACGAGACTTTAAGGTCTCGTTTATCACCTCAGGAGACATAGCTTCCTTTGGATATGTGGATGTTCTGAGATACTTCATTGCCCTGTTTTCCTATGATTTGCTTTAAGATGGTGTTTGTTTCCCCTGTGTATGAACCTGGAGAAAAGTCACCAACATCTGTGTCTTTAGGAGCTTCCCTTTCCACATTTCCATATGACACTTGACAGAAGTATCCCATTCCTGACCCATCTTCTCCCCACAGCTCTTCCTCACCAGGTAATGGCTTGATCAGCTCAACATTATTTAACTTTTAAAGGTCAGGGGGTTTTTTTGAAAGCAGTTTTTTACTTTTCCTGCCCAAATGACACCCTTTGAAAGCACCTGACTGGCAACAGACAGGTTCCCTGCATTTTCTGAATAAGGTTCTGAAAGTATTTCAGATACTTTCAGGTAGAAAACCCAAGTCTAGTTTTGGAGGATGTGTTGCTCTGAAGGAGGAAAAAAAAACTTATGGTACTTCTTGGGGATACCTCCTGACAGCTTTTGAATACAATCTCCAGCTGAATTTCTGGTCTCATCAGCATCCCTGAACCCCTGCACATCCATGCTTATGGTGACACTTCCAGCAGGGCTACAGACATGCAAGAGACACTGAGTCTGACCTAGAGTAAATACAGCAGTGGATTATAGAATGGTTTGGGTTGTAAGGGACCTTAAAGATCATCTAGTTTCAACCACACCATGGGCAGGGGCACCTTCCACTAGACCAGGTTGCTCAAAGCCCCATCCAACCTGGCCTTGCACACTTTGAGGGATGGGCCATCCACAGCTTCTCAGGGCATCTTGTGCCAGTGCCTCACCACAGTAAAAAATTTCTGCCTAATATCTAATCTAAATCTACCCTCTATCAGTTTGGAGCCAGTCTATTACTACATGCCTTTGTCAAAAGTCCCTCTCCAGCTCTCCTGCAGCCCCTTTAGGTACTGGAATGAGCTCTAAGGTCTCCCTGGAGCTTTTTTTTTACCCATGCTGAACAATTCCACCTCTCTCAGCCTGTCTCCACAGCAGAGGTGCTCCAGCTCTCTGATCATGAGAGAGTCTCGAGACCACGGTCCAGGACTTTGGACCATGCTACTGTCAGTATGCATAGAACTCCTTAAAAATGCATCACTTTTAATCAGAAGTTTATAAAATCCCCCATACCTTTCTGTGTGGCCCTGGTGAGCTTGGCTGGAAGTCCAGGGCCAAGTAATCCACACTCCCCGAACTCTTTTTAGGCGCTGGGCTGTTGGTACCACTAGGAACAGGAGAAGCAGAAATGGGATTTTGCTAATGCAGGGAAGAGACAGGAGAGATAATGAGGATTAAAATGGGAATAAAGAAAAAAGGGAATTAAGACAAATCTGGCAGCAAAGCGCCTTGGTGGCACTTTATTAATAAAGAGCCTGGATATTAGGTCACTAGTCTCTGGGACCAGGGTGTGTAGAACTGCTGGGGGACTACATATGTTGTATGTTGTGCTAACAAATATTTCAAGCTCATGTTCTTGATTTCATGTATTGGAGCAGTTCTTCTGCCTTTGTGCTGATTTTATTCATATGCCTGATAACAGATGTGGGCTTTAGCATGTCCCAGGAACCACACCTCAGTGAGGCCAGGCCAGCTCTGAGATCTTCGCTAATCACAACCATGCTACACAGAGCACTGATTTCCTCTACCTCATGAGTTACATAACCTCCAAAATATGCTTAAATCAGCAGCTCCACCAAGAGAGACAAAATCCCCTCCCTGTAAGCAGTGCTGCTCCCTGTTGCTGCTCTGATAGCCCCTGCCCTCCACACAAATACTATGTCAGTAGATATTAGGGGGAAAAAAAAATTGAAAAATATCAACTTCAATTAGGAAAATACACCCTGACAGTTCTTATACATTTTTATCCCCTCTTAATTCCTGGCAAAGTAGATGATATATGTTTCTGCTCTCATATACATTTAAAACCCTAACGGGACATGTCATTTTCAGAAGGAAGCACACTGTTTTGTGCATGCAGGGATGTATGTCAGGATGGACATCTGAGCACTTCCATGTCATGAGCTAGGAATGTGTTTGCAGAGCTGTGGAATGTGTATGTCCTGCCAGGACCATCTATCTTAGCTGTGGGGCCCTTACCATCGCCACATAGTTCTCCTCGCTGTCTCCCGAGTCAGTGCTGGTGATGCTCTGGGAGGAGACAGGGCGGCAGTACTGCAGAGAGCCCGCGTTGAACGTCTGGCTGTAAGGACAAGGGTCGATGTGTTATCCATGGTGGCAGGGGCTGCTTGTTTATTGCCAAGGAGGGCAGCTTTTGATGCCTACAAACATTACCATACTCCAGTCTGGGGACTGGGCATGAAGAAGAGCTGGTGGAATTGAGGTTCTCCAACCCATCCTTTCCATGAGATGGAAATCACTGGGTTTGGTCTTCTCATTTCTTTTCTTTCTAAAATTTTTTGCTTGCTATGTACCTGTAATTCTCCTGCTATCACCTACACAAACCAGGCTCCATGAACTCTTTTATCTCACAGGAAACATTTAGTTGTGGAAGATACAGAGCCAGCCTTGGTGAAGCCTCTCACCTCCAGCCTTACCACAGCTACAGGATTTGTTTACTGTACAGGGCCCTATCCAAATTTTTTGCTGGAAAACAAATCCTCCAAGGAATTGTCTTGCTTTCAATTGGCCAAATCTAATTATACCAAACAAAATAATGAAATCAGTGTCTGGCATTAAAGCGCGTGTCTTAAAAAGCTATTCGTTGCCTATCAGTAAAGCAGGGTCATATGATTAGCTGATAAGGGAAAAATCCATTAGCTTCTCCAGGGTCGGACGTCTTGTCAATCAAACCCTGCTCGCCGCTTCCCAGTGCAGTGATTTCAGCACACAGCGCTCATGCCCTGCAGTCAGTCTCCACACAATCCAATTTATTAGAGAAGTCATAGCAGCCAAGCTTTGCTTCTGCCTTTCACTGGACAACATCAGACCGTGAATTAGCAGCAGAGCTGAAATTGTGCAAATCCTGTTATTTTTGGCTGGCAGACACAGCTCTGAGGAGCTTTGGTTTAATTTTGCAGACTTCCTTTGGGCTAGGCTTTGCTTTCAAGGCAATCAAAGCACGTCTTGGTCAGACCCCAAGAGTGTCACCTGGTGTTTTTAGACTACAGTGGGGCTTTTGGGGGGATAGCTGGATGTGAAATCATGCCTCACACCCCCAGTGTGGCTGAGTTGGTCTGGCTCAGCTGGGTCATGAGTCGTGGTGGACCACAGGTCCAATGTGAGATCCATAGCTCTCCAGAAGTTGTCAGATCCCAGAAACAGGAAATGTCTTCAAGGGATCTTAATTAGCTGCTCAGCCACATGCTGGGCTCAGCCACATGCTGGGCTTTCATGTGAAATCCCAACTTCAATAATTTTATCTTTCTGCCACCAGCTGTGATGTGGGGAACCTATGACAGAGGTGACAGATTGGCTACAAGTGGACACCAGTCAGAGCAAGACCAGACAGCTGCTGTTGAATCAGAGCACGAATTCATCCCCCAACCATTACTCACGTTGGCCTGGACCAAGATTTTGTGACTGGCGATTTGAAGGGAAGCTCATCGATGACAGTGTTGTTTCTCAGGTCCAATGGTGATGGCTTTGCTGGGGGAGAGAAAAGACTTTATTCAGAGGCAGCATGTTCCTAGAATTCAGAATCCATGACTGGCATGAGAGGGTCCCCAAAAAAATGGTTGATTACTTCCCATTCTGCTAATCAGCCAACCAGCCCTCTTGCTGACGACAAATATCTCCAGCCAAAATCCCTGCACTCATTTACGCCAGGAGAGAAAACAGTGAATTTCTCCCTCTGACCTGCAGCCCTAAAATGGATGGGTGGTCCCAAAAGGGGAGTATGCCTCCCAGGAAATGAGGATCTGCTAAAAATGCCCAAACACCAGAGTATAAACCCATTCATCAGGGATCTATGAAAATCTGTGAGATGGGGAAAAGACTAGACGCTGCCGACCCTGAGCTACCTTTGTCTGGAGTGTTTTCCCATAGGGAATGGGAAAGGGCATCTGCAGGGGAACATGAAAGCTCTTCTCATCACGGATGGTTCATTAGGTGGAAGAGAAGAGTGCTATGCTCCAGCCTCAGCTCTTGATCAAAGTGTTGATGGGGTTAGGTGTGGACACCCTAACAGTGAAAGCCCTCCTCCTTAGGATCTCCTTGGTGACCTGTCAGGCAAGGGACTGGCAGGGAATTGGAGGATACTGGGAAAGCCCTGAAGGAAGAACTGCCTAGAACCAACCAGTAGGAAACAGCAGGAAAAATCTGAGTCATCTGAACATAACACTGAGATTTTGGGGTGAAGCATAGGGAGGGGTGCAGGCAAAGGGGGTGAGATCCTGTCTGTGACATATATCTCCTGTAAAGGCTAGAAGGTCTTGAGATGGGCTGTTCAAGCACCACGAAAGTTGCATTTGTACTATAAGGCTCCCGAAAGATGAAGGGGATAGGGGAGATCTGAAGGTCTGACTGTGCTGGCAGTAGCAAAATGCACCCCATCCAGAACTGTGCACAAGATGACAGATGTGGTCTGAGGTATGAGAAGAACAAAAGGATTCCTGTAAAGATTTTCCCACAACCATTCCTACCTTTCCGGTCGGGTTTGAGGTTGCGGTTGACTGGTGGGGGCTGGATTTCACTCAGTCGTCTGTGACACTGCACCATAGTTCCTCCTTTATGCACAGGAAGGGTGGTTGAGGACAACCCCACCAGGTCAAAGTGATGCGGCCCAGGGCTCATGGGGATGTAGAGGTTTTGGGCATTGTCGTTGGCTTTCTCAGCATGGATTAGGGGTGAGGAACCAGGGTTCATGGGGACGTAGTTGTCCTCGGAGTCGGTACTGTGGGAGCGGGCCACTGCTGCCTTGGCTTGCTGGGGGACAAGTGGGAGGATGTGCTGTAAGTATCAGACTCTGCTCAACCCCACACCACTATAAACCCTTCATCTTGTCATAAATGAATACACATCTGAGGGGGGAACTGCTCTAAAACCTAAGCACAGAGGGAAGGGATGGTCTGTCCCCGCCTTGGCCATCAGTTTGCACTGAGAGGGTCTACCTTCTCTGTTTCCAAGACATTGTAACATCCTAAGTTTGGAGAAAGGTCTTCATCGCCCAGACTTGAGCATCTTCTCATGATCAGAGTGAGCCGCAGAAACATGCTTAACCTGGAAAGCCTTTCTTGCCTGGGCTCTGATCATGACTAAAATGCAACATGAAGGGCTGCTTTAATGTAATTTCCAGCTCAGGAAATCTTAGAAAGTGCACAAAAGAGGCTGTTCTGGCAATGTGTCAAAATTTAACTCAGAAGCATCCAAGGCTTTAAGGAAGAAGTCAAACTCCTAGGCATTTTTTTTTGGGTCAAAGCTCCAGGAAGATACACTGTGTGGAAGCAAAGCTCTGCCTGTGGTGCTGGGTTAGGTCCATCTGTCACTCCATCTGTTCCCTGCAGGTCACCATGATTTTAACTGAAATCATTAATAAAACCCTTCTTGACTTAGCTCTGCAGGCCTGCACTGCGAGGTCCATCCTGGAACCAACTTGTTTCTGAATCTATAAGATGCAAGTAGGTGCCTACAGTGTGGTGGCCAACACCAAGTTCCACTCACCAGGTAGGAGTTGTACCCATCGTTCATGGACTCGATAGACTGCATGGCACTGCCTCCCCCGTGCTGGGGGTACTCGTACGTCTCGCAAGAAGAAGCTGCAATGCAACCACAAATGCACATGTCCCACCACAACTGCCAATAAAAAGGGGTCCCTGAAAACAAGGCACTGTGAGGACAATATCTGTTTTGTTGATTCAGATGCTGATGAGAAGACATGGTCTTTAGTCTGTCACAGACTCTCTGCTATGCTCCTTCCCAATTAGCATCTCTCTGATGCATCACCACAACTGCACATGCTGTGTGGACCTAACCCGGTTCTGTCAAAGTACTGCAAAATCCCAGGGGTAAAGATGTCAGATAAGGTACATCATGGTGACAAAACTGGTTTAAGGGAGAGCTCTGTTAGAGCTTGCTCAGCAGATGTAGGGGCTGGGAGCCTCCAGTAAGGGAAGGGTGGGGTGAGGATGAGTGCTAAGCTCTTAGTTAAGTCTGCCTACTGCTGAGCATGGGTCTGATCTCAGCCTAAATGTTGGCAATTAGGTAGGAGGAGATGGAAGAGGCATTTCATAGAGCTCTGTGTAAAATTTACACCTTTTCTAAGTTTGCAATTTTGTCATTCTAGGTACAAGTGGGCATATTCATCCATGGCCCACTCATGGCCAATGGGAACAGCATCTCTACTGCGCTGGGGACATCGGGTCTTGGAGATGTGCAAAACCAAGGTGATGTGCAAAACCAAGATAATGTGCAACCTGTGCAAACCCAAGGTTTTGCTCACCCACTTTGGTGAGCAAAACCAAGGCAGCACCAGGCTGAAGTATGTTTTGATAAACCTGGTTATGAACTGAAGGCAAACTAAAAATAGCTGAAATCACAAAAATCTGGTGAAGGGCTTCATAAGCAAGCGGGTTTGGGGTTTTGGTTCAAGGTACAACATAGCCAATAGTCATCTGGGCAGCTCTGGTGGGCAGAACTCTGTGGATGCCTCTCCATGCCTGCTGAATACAAAAAACAGGGCCAGATCCTGACTGGGGAGAGCTTCTTTGTGTCCACCCCCTGGTTGATGCCAACAGCACTCCAGCCCTACCACATGGGACTGATCTGCCCAAGGCTGGTAGATAGGACAAAGCCACCCTCAGCTCCCCGCCCCCAAAATTCACCTCGGTGCAATCTGCTGTTCTCCACTGCAGGCAGCGTGTTTCTCCGTGGAATGGTGGCTGCCATGGGGGCCAGACCTAGATTTTCACTGGGCTGGAGCCGCTGGGGGGGGCTGCCCCACCGTGGCTCCGTCTGCCCAGGTTTCGGGGGCCGCGGGGGTGGTGCAGAGGGTGAGTCGCTGGCGGCCACAGCCAGAGCATTGTGGTTCTTGTCTAATGTAAATGTCCTGGGGATCTGGTAGATGGAGAGTGGGGTGGCAGGGATGTCATAGGAGTCCGTGGAGAGCTCCCCAAACTCCTTGCATAGGGTGTTGTTGGGAGTCTTGTAGGTGTAGACCTCCTCATTATCCGTTTCAGAGCTGGTGAGGCTTGACTTGGGGTGGGTGTAGGAGCCAAAGGCACGTGGGAGATCGTGCGCACTGTCCCTGAACTCCGAGTTGTGCCGGCTGGGTTTTGGCAGGCTGTAAAAGCCATGGAGCTGTCCACCAACCCCGTTCACGCAGTGCCCATTGCCCTGAGAGAGCTTCTGGACCGCTGTGTCGCTCCGCATGAAGAAGGCAGACCGTGTGGCTTGTGAGAAGCTGGCACTCCTGCAGAGGAAGGGGACAAAGGGGTTGAGATGGCGGGAGAGCTGGTCCTGGGGTGCAGCAAACTCTGCTTCTCCTCTTTGTCACCTTACTGACTTACATGAAGACCTAATGCATATACACTGCAAGGGTATGAAAGGTAACCTTGATTGGGTCCTTTTGCCTGCAAAGGTATAACCATGCATGGGCTGGGCTTTTAGGGGCCACATGCTCCCACCCAGAAAGGGCTCAGCCAGCCCCACATAAACATTCCCCCATGGAAGAGGTTCCTGCCCTGTATCAATCATTGTGGTTAGAAAACCTGAAAGGGTTATGGGAGAGTTTCCAGTTGTGGCAAATCACTGGGAAAGTGCCGGACCTATGGGAAAACCTGGGAGATACTGGTTGCAATCCCTGCTTCGACAGGGTTCGTGCTCTGCAGGGACAATAGGGACTCTTTCACGGAGCCAGCACGAGAGGGCGCTCAGAAATAGGGCTTATTTGGGGAAAAAACAAGTGATGTTGTGATAAGACAAATACTGAGCTCCCGCCACCTTTGGAGCTCAGTACACCCAGAAGAGGTCTCGGTTCTGGCAGGGTCCTTTCGGTCAAGGACTTGAAACATCATGTGTTAATTATTCAGCATTGCCTGCCAATTAGCTACTATTACCCTCATTTTATGGATGAGTAAAGTAAGAGCTCCAGAGCTGAGAGGGGAGGGATTCCCAGCAGTTCTGCAGCCTGGCCCCATGCACTGGGCATTGATCAGATGATTATTTCTGGCCCAGTTGCAGAAGATGCCACCGGCCAGTTTGTTTCTGCTCACCAAAGCATTGGTGCTTGCTCCCTTCTCCTCTGGGTCCCAGCCACATTTGGGTTCTCAGAGGGTGGCTTTTAGGTATCCTCACAGCTGGAGCATCAGAGGGCCGTTTTTTTAAACACTGTTCCATTAACTCCATCTGAAGTTAATTTTTCTGAGCCTTTTTCTCTTGTTGTTTTTCAAGTAGGGAAAGTCAGCTGCAGCAGGAAAGCCCAGTGGAGGCTGCAGCCCGGACTCTGCTCTCAGTCCACACCAGCTGGGTTCTGACTGTCTCTCCCCTCCCTCCCTCCTCGCTGCTCCTGCGAGCCAAAACTCGTCACGTCAAAAAAACTCCTCGCTATTTAAGGCAACCGGCTGGGTCTGGAGGCGGAGAACTGTCGCTCGCTCAGAAATACCACACCGTGCACCGCCAAGCTGCCATGAAGCCCAGTGAGCTCTGGAAGGGGTGACTGGCAAAGTGCTGGAAATCCTGCCCATCCCTTTGTTTGTTGTTTTTCTGATTAAAGGCAGGAATTAGGGCCCTGCCTGCAGGATCACAAAGTGGTTGAGGTTGGAAGGGATCTGTAGAAATCATCTGGTCTAACCCCCTGCTCAAGCAGGGTGACCTAGAGCTGGTTGTCCAGGACTGCGCCCAGACAGCTCTGGAATATCTCCAAGAATGGAGACTGCTAAACCTCACTTGGACAACCTGTGCTACTGTTTGGTCGCTTACAGTGAAAGTGTTTCCTGATGTTCAGAGGAGCCCTCCTGTGCTTAAGTTTGTGCCCATGGCCTCTGGTCCTGGCACAGAGCATCACTAACAAGAACCTGGCTCCATCCTCTTTGCACCTTGTCTGCAGGGGAGATCCCCCTGAGCCTTCTCTTCTACTAGCTGGACAGTTGCAGCTCTCTCAGCCTTTCCTCTTAGGAGAGATGCTACAGTTGTTTCAGCAACTCCATGGCCCTTTGAACTGGACCCAGTATTGACCCCTTGAGTACACTTCTAGTGACTGGCCTCCACCTAGACTTCATGCCACTGATCACCATCCTCTGGGTCCAGCCATCCAGATAGTTTTTAACACAACCCAGAAAGCCAGGAAAGCTGGGAGCTTGTGACCTCCTCCTCCCAACCACAATGAGATGAGACCATTGCTCAGGGCTTTCTCCAGCTGGGTTTTGCAGACCTCCAAGAATACAGGTAAGTTGAGCCACTGATACCCAGCCCTCCCTCAGCTGTCCCTGAGGTTTGCTCCCAGGTGGGCTAAAATACCTTGCATTTTCTGACTTTCTGCTCATGCACTGGTGGAGGAAAAGGTAGTCCTGGGGGGCACTGGCAGACAGGGTACTCTGGAGGTGGCTGGCAGGTGAGTCGAAGGTGAACAGGGTGGGCTGGCTGGAGTGGGACGGTGCTGAGGACTTGCGCTCTCGTAGCAGGTGGTGGCTGGCACTGCTGAGCTCTGCCGGGGAGGACCGTGGTGCATGGTTCATGGAGGCAATGCTCCTCAGGGTGTCTGTGCAGGGAAAAAACACACATGTGAGTGGCAGATGGAGCTACCCCGCAACCTGTGTTTCCAGGATTTTCCTTACTTAAATGTTCTGTCATTTATGGAGGTCAGTGGGGTTTGCTTATGACTCCAAGTGATGCTCTCACCTCTTCTACTTGGAGCACATGCAACTATAGGTACCATGTATGGAAATACATATTTATAATATTTTATCATAGAATCATATTTCATCATTTTATCCTATTTCATCACATGCTTAGTGGTTTGCAGGGATGTCTGCAGGATGTCAGCCTATTTCATGGGGAGATCAGTAGGTTGTTAAAACCTGATTTAAAAAAAAGGAGAGGAGCTTTCACACTGCAGTGAGATGTGATTTAAGTCACCCCCATCCCTCTATGTAAGGGTATCACTGCCATCCCTTTAGAGTTGGGTAAACTGGGGTACAGGGTGGGAATCTGAATGGACATAATGGCAGTGGAGATCAAAAAACATTCTCATGTTTCCCAGTTCTCTACTAATTTTGTGGCCTCAAGAGATGTCCTGCTGTTTTATGCTAATAAAATTGGATGTGCACCCAATGCATGACTCCTAGTGCCTGCTCCTCCTGCTTAAGGAGAAACAGACTTTAAAATATTACATTCTTTTCAATGGAGAATATCCCAGAGGTCAGGAATAATCACCTGGCTACTCTAGTCCTCTTATAACTATGCTTCATGAGTTTCGAACCACAGATGAATTCTTACAGCCAAGTTGTAAATTCCCATTACAAAAAAAACCCCAACACAAACAAACCAAAACCAAAACCCAAAATCCCAGAAAAACCACAAGCTGCAGAATATTTTGGGAAAGCTGATCCATCTCTGGCTGCAGAAGACCACACAGAAGACCATGCATGCGCTCCCGGCACGTGAAAAGCACTCACTGTGGTTCACTGAAGGCACACTTTACAATAGTTGTGATTTACATTTATTTGGTGCTGAAACACAGAAAAAACCCAACTCCTAACAAAAAGTGGAAATCCACCCAATCTCTGGCCACCACTGATTTTCGATTGCTCCCCAGCATGATCACCTGTTCTTCAAATTTGACTTCAGACACCCATGCTCCAACGCAGGGATGAAGGGGATTTTACAGGGTTCCAATCTCTTTCTTTCCATTTCTTCCCTCAAATTACAGATCACACCAGAAATTCTGAGCCTGATTCTCTTACGCTGCAGAAAAACGGCTGTCATGGCTCAGACAACGAGATGCTCCACACAGAGTGATTTTTTGAGTCACACTTCTGAGTCGTGTCAAGATACAAAATCAATCTATCTGCTGCTCATTGGCTGCTGCTACATTTTTTCCCTGGTGTTACTTCAAACTTCACCCGATGCAGAAAAAGTACATTAATAGAAGCCAAAGAGCTTGACTCTGTTGTTTGGTTTGTGCTAAACACAGAAAGGATCAATATTTAACACTGACAATAATGGTGGGGGTGACAGCTTAAAACTCTGATTCCTGTCTTCTTCGCATGGGCATTAAAGATCCCTTGGTGCTTTTCAAGGGAGTAAATGGCCATCCCAGTGTCCTTGGACAAAACAGTGCCTTGACCCTCATTCTTATTAAATATTTATCCAATAGCAGTGCAGAATGATTCCCATTGGAAAAGGTGTCTTGAGAGCTATGAAAATCCCAAATCAAAGTTCCAAATCAAGTGCTTTGTGGTCAACCAGAACAAGAGAGCCCAAACCCACAATGCCATCAAAAACAGGGGGCTGCACCTAAAGTGCCTCTCAGGAACCCTTCATCTTACTACCTCCCAAATCACAGCCAGGAATTGCCTGTGACACTGTGCTTTGGCCAAGACTGCTTGAGGATGGTTTGAGGATGACAGATTAGTGTTATGTCTCCAATCCAGTGTGAAGTTCACCTCTGGGGACAATATGAACTGCACTAGGTCGGGGTCCCTCCAACATCCTGAGCTGTCCTCCCACACTATCCCTGCAGGCTTTGCATTTGCCATTGCATCAAGATGTCATGGCAGGGCAAAATACATCCAAGAATTAGAAATTACACTGATTTATTTATGCTAACACAGCCTAAGGGGAGAAATGGGGTTGCACAAAGGAGATGATCTCCAGCATCACCCCAGGGAACAGCAACTTCAAATCACAACACTTTGGGGAGCTCTGTGAATCCTGCACTACCAGGAGATCCTAATCTTTTCCCAAAAATCAGTCTGATTTGGGGAAACTGGAGAGTGCAGTGCAGAAGATGCACTCATTGAAATCAGGATGAATTACTCCATGGTTACTCCGACCACATAAATGAAAATGGGGAATGAAGGGGGGGCAGGAGGCAATGCCTAGTAAAAGCATGTAGCTTCCCTGGGGAGAGCGGCTCTATTGGCATCTGTATTGATTTTCAAAATGAATTCCCAGCTCGCTTCCCGCAGCGACCTGGCCACTGAGAGCATTAGCAGGAGCCAATTCAGGACTCATGTACTCCATTAGATTTGTGAGATGAACTCTGTAATAGTAGGTGAGAGATGGATTGCTTTGCGGGGCTGGGAGGGTATTGCGAGGGCTGAGAAGATAAATCCTATGGAAGGAGACTGCCAAGATTGCTCTGGATTTTTTATGTTGTGGGGATTTTTTGCACTAGAATAAACGACAGGTCATGTGCCCAGGTCACACGCTGACAACGGGTCCTGCTAGGGGACAGAAAAGGAGGCAAGAAAGGAAATGGAGGCAGAAAAATAGTATTTGAAGACTAGTACATGCTAAGGGAAAGGTTAAGACATCACATTGGCTTGAAACGCAGAAAGGTCCCCATGAAGGTAAGGCATGCAGACTGAATACGAACCAGAGATCCCAAAGCCATTTCAGCTTGCCATGCTGCAGTGCCCAGCTCCCAAGAGATGAGGACCAACACTCCTTTCCCACATCCATGCAGGGCACTTAGTGAATAAGTTCCATGTGGATGCCTCCAGGCATCCGTCCCACCTGCATCATGACCAAAGATACTCAACTCTATCTGTTGAAAAGCCAAAAAGAAAGATGCTTCTCCATCCTTCATGGCCATCCATCTCAGGACCATGGATAAACTCATGAATCTCCTTCATTTAACAGTGTAGACAAGCCTTCTAATCCCTTGGCTTTATGTTGATATCTTGAGTTTATGTTGAAGGAATGTATCAAGTACAGCCAAAGAGGGATAAGATCCTGTGCAGTTCCTACTGCCATTCCCTGGGGGCCAGAGTTAAAATTATGTAGTGGGGCCATGTGGGAAGTGTCATCTTAACCCCAAGTTTCCTGGCCAGTTCTCCTCTGAGTTTGGGGAATTCGACTCCCATGGTCTGGAAAATGCAGTGTTGGACGCCCACAAGTTAAAATTCAATGTCAGCAGCACGATTTCTACATGTACATCTTGCTGGGCTCAGGCTACAGCTGTTGCACTGGTCCTTGCAAGAAAGTGAGCCAGAGGCTTGGTAGGGACAAGTGAGCACAGCCCTGCAAACCTCCATGGTGCCAGGTGGGTTTCGACCGGCTGAAGGCTCAGCACTCACTAGTCAAGGTTAAGATGCACCTTTTTGTCTGTTTATTGCAGCAAAGTGGTAAACCTCTCTTTGAAATACATCCCCAAAGCAAAATTCCATAACTGAGAGCACGGCCAGCAATGGGATGGACTAGGCTGGGAGCCAGGAATTTTTTATGAATGTTCTCAATCCCTCAAAGTGGTATTTCCCTCCTTGTTGACAAGTCTGAATTCCCTTGCTCAGAGCACTTGACTGTTGGTGTGTGTGCATAGCTTCACACAGTGTTCCTGGGCTTATCTGAGTGCAATAATAACTCAGGATCCTTTGGAACTTATTGCTCAGAATATCCTTGTTCACCAGAGCAATGTCAGCTTTCCCCACCTGAAGGCAGAGGCTGGGACTACAACTCCCTGTATCTTGAAATGATACCCCTGGGAAGGTGCTGATTTTTGGGTGCAGTTAAATTCCTGTCAGTGTTCACAAAAAATGTGACAGGCTTGCTTGGCATTTCTGAGTGGCACAAAATTCCCTATGATGCCAACACCAAGCTAGCAAGGACTGGTCCAAGGGCTCCACAGATAAGGGCTCCTCAGATCTGCCCTGGCAAACAAGGCCACGGAATGCCTTGGATCGCGTAGCTGACTTTGTGCCAGTTTAAACTTGTGGCCAGTGGGACTTTCTTTCAGGAGGGAATAGTAGAAATCTACTAGAAATAATCCTTAGGATGCCGCAGGGTAGACTGTGCTCATGCACCATCATCTTCCTTACTCTTTGAAGCACCTCCACCATTTATTAGCAAAAAAAAAGGGGAAACTTTCTCCAGGGGAATCTGCCTGCACATCTGCTTTTGCTGCCAGCTCACTCCTTGAGCACAAATACGAAAGAAATAATTAAAACAAGACAAACGACCCTACCAAAACAAGCCTTCCACATGCTTCTCCTGGTAGAGAGAGAACAAACAACATGTCTAATGCATGAGTCAATGTGCCACAGTGCTGCCAAGAGGCCTTGGGATGCCATAAGGATGAGCATGGCACCAGAGGAAGGTTTATTTACTAAGCTTTCCCTATCACCTCCAAGTTGGATGGCATCTGGAAAAGATGCTGTCAGTCTGAGGATGTCCTTGCAGGTCACTAAGTTTTTCTCCAGCAGGTTAGTGGGATACAACATCTGATTACGATAATTTCCCCTCTCCAGTTTCCATCAGGATGGGGAGCTGTGTGCAAGGACATAGGCGTCCTAATATTTATCACTGCCTGAATTTTGGGTGCCAAGCAGTGGAGTGGAGCTCCCCAAAAGAGATGACTCTGCATCCTCCACTGCACAGGAGCTGAAGGGTAGGGACAACAGTGACATAGGGCTTTTGAGCTTTTCCCTACCAGTTTCTGATGCTAATTTCCATTTGAGATCAGTTTGAGAAACTGATCAGGAGAGAGTGGCCAAGAGAAAGGAGAAGCATTTCCACTTTACAGACAAGATCTGCTGC